TCAGCAGGATTTTTCTCAGCTGTTTCCTTTGTTGGAGGCAGAAAAATGAAGGGAAGAGAGCGCAAAGGCTCCGACCTCAGGTGCCTTCCGGGGAATGTGCCCCTCGCGGCACCTCCTCAGAGCCAGCCCACTCCTCTAGGTGGCTCTGCCTTTTTCCAAATGCATCGAATCCCCAAAGCAAAAATTGACATTTTGAGCAATACGGCTGATACCTGCTCCTCTCCCCACTGAGGCAATCCCAGACCTTGTGAGCAAACGGATAAACACAGGCTTGTAGTTTTGGGGGATCGAAACTCCAGGTTGGCTCTTCAAATGCAAAGAAACCTCCCTTTAAAAGCTACCTGCTTCTTGTCCTTTCGGTGCCTTTATTAGCTACGGTTTCCTGATAAGCTGCTTATTTTAAATGCCCCTTTCCGCTTAGACTATAAAGTATCATTTTTTCTGATATGACTCCAGAAAGATGCAGAACAGTTACAAATAATAAAGGTTTATACACAAGGAAGGAAAGGAGGGAAGAGATGTCTCGCAAAATCAAATGCGGACGTTTCTCCTGCTGCTGTGACTCTCTGAACGCACCCACGACGCACACAGAGAGCTCTTCCCCAAGGAGACACCGAACAAAACCAGCAGCAGCAGCAGTGACAGAAAGAAAACAATAATAATAATAATAATAATAAACACAAAAAATCCTCTAACTAACTTTAAGTGACTCTCTATTCCGAAACTTCTGTTTGCTCACTTTTAAATAAAATCCAATGGCAGGAATTCTCCAGTTACTACGTTCCTGCTTAAATGACCCAAGGGATGAAAACCTGTGATTTGAGCTAACCCAGGAAAGCTGCTCCCATCTGGCTTCCCTGATTTACAAGTGCACTATTTTATTAAGTATTTTATTATGTACATTATTAAGTATTTTATCAACAACAGAAAAGGCAAAGACGCTTTATAATTGGTCTTCTCTCCATTTGCTCCCCAAAATCCCAGTGTCAAATGAAGACACACCGCACTGGCAGCCCTAGGGAGCCTGCTCCACATTTGCATCCTGAAAGGCAGTTTCTACACACTTCGCATTTGTATCTCGAAAGGGGATTTTTTTACACATCTTTATCAGCATAAAAAGGAATTGAATAACAATAATATTTAAGACCCGGGGATTTGCATCTTCAAAGAGACAGGGCAAAGATTCTCTGAATTCCTCCACGCAGTTTGATGGGTTTTATTTTATCTTCCTTTTTAGAAGCAGGATTGCAGGATGCTGGAGACACATGTTGTAGCAGGGGCCCATGGGCTTGTCCTTTCTGTGCCTTCCTGCTCTGGGCATGGGGCATGGAGACCCCCGGGGCGCCCGCCAGGATGCACCGACCCCCTCGCCCCAAACCTCGCAGAGAGCATCGGGCGAAGCACAAGCAGCTGGCCACTAAATTGTGGGAATTCCGGCAAAAATGCGGCTGCAGACGAGAAAGTTTCCTTTCTCCTTTCTTTCTTTTATTATTAAGAGAACCGTGCCCCGTACCCGCCGGGTCTCTCTCCCCGGGGCAGGAGTGACCCCCCGACACGCTCCGGTTGCCTTCAGCGTTCAACGTTGCTCGTGCAGGGATGAGTTTCGCAGCGCTCCAGCCCCCGAGTAGCCGAGCCCAGGGGGACCCGAGCGGCACCGGGGGGTCCCGAGCGGCA